CCCCTTACATCTTTTTTCTCTCTCTCCTAAACTCTCACACCCATCTCTATTTATAGAGTCTTCAAACCCAATTTCTTGTTAGACAAGTATTTCCAAACTTGCCTACAAGGAGTTACCATAATGATCATAACTCTAAACTAGAAACATAATGGAATACAATTTCCTCCACAAAATTTAGCCTTCCAAAATGAAAAGGAAATTAATTTTCTGCACATAAATTTAGAGCCACAAACCCAACAATCTCCACCTTGGCTCAAAATTCAATCTTCACGTGCTTCTCCATAGCTCTACCTCGAACAAAGATCTCATTATAGCTCCACCTTAATTAAAAATTTCTTCACCTCGAACAAAAGTACTATGATAAACTTGAGAAACACTCTAACAAGAAGCTCAATGAAATATGCAGGTTATCTCATGTCAGGGCAAACTCCTACTTCAAATTAAAATTTCCTACAATCCAAACACTTGGTCATGGCCTTGACGTGAAAAATGATGTTTTTTTTTTTTCTTTCTTTATTTTTTAATGTTTTTTCTTCATATGTAACTGCTAATGGCAAGATCAAGTTGTTCTGTAATTACCAAAATTGAATCAAAATAAAACAAGATAACAATTTTGTCATAGACATAACATACATGAACATAAGTGAATAAAGCTAGAAAAAATAACTTACCTGAAAAAAAAAAAAAAAAATACAACTTAGACATTTGACAATAGATTTTCTTGTGTATTCAAACTCGTTAGTTTTTACCCATTACACTAAATAAAAGAAAACTATTTGAAATTTAATACTTCAAAATCCCAGATGAAAATATTTATTTTTTGACAACAAAAAATAAGAAAAAAAGGAAAATAATAAATATCATAAAAAAAAATTATGATCTCTTTATCGTGAAAAACGTGGCAGCGCACAGCTTTGTTTGCCAAGTTTTTCCATTTTTTTTTTCTTTTTTTTTTTTCTTTTTTCTTCTTTAAACCAATGATGAAGAGAGAGGGCAAATAGAGAATTATTTAGGAAACGCATATAGAGCTGTGTGTTTGGGAGAAAGTGATATGATAGGCATATTTATAGACTAATTTAATTCAACTGGACCAACTTCGGCACCACCCAGCTCAGACTCCCCATGCCCAGTGCCGCCATAATGACGCCATGGTACGTCGCAATCGACTGCACCGCCCGCTCAATTGTCTACGACGTCGCTAGTAATAATTACCGGCCTCTAACCTTTTCATGATATAATTGAAATGGTTGCAGTGGTTTCTATCACTAAGTGAGATTTGGAAGGGACAAGGAGAGGAGACAGAGTGAGCAAGTGGTTGCAGAACTGGTGATGCTGGAGGAGGCATTCCGCATTTGTCAAGTGTAGCAAGGGAAGGCTTTCTTTGTGCGATACCCCTCGGTTCCGAGATACGAGTTGATCAGGCCCAGGCCCAAACCCGAGGGATATCGAACAATTAAAGTATTTTAAATCGAACACAGAATACAAAAATAATTTAAGATATAAAATTAAAAGCTAAAAGAAACTAAAAGAAAAACCTTGTATCACAATTAGTCCAATCTGATATTCCAAACCTTCATAAGTTTACAACTCGGGAATCCATCCAGTGGACCCCTTATTAAGAATTCTCAAACTTAAACTGAAACTGAAATAAAAACTAAAGCCAACATAGAGAAGATTCCTACGTAGTCGGAAGAATCAATATTTGTATCTACTCTGCACGTCCAAGCTCTAACCCTGGAACTGACGAACACCTGAAAAATAAAAGAGTGGGTCAGGCCTACATGCAAGTCCTGATCTACTACAATTCAAACAGTAATCCGATACGCAGATACATCCTAGGAAGATTCAACAATATCTAGAGTAGTCCATATATGTATATAGTACACACTATAGGACGCTCGCTAGTCCAGTAGGTCTATCTCAGCCTGAATAAAAGGTAACATGCAAATATGCACCCTGAGGTGGGCATGAGTTCCTAGACCTACCAAGGAACAACACCTATGTCCAGTTATCCATTTTAGGCGATATACGCACCCTAACCATGGTCCTGAGACTCAAGCTCATACCATGGCACATATAATAAATATATAAAGTCCGTACTCCTAATACAAAATATCATCCATCTGTATAGTGGTCTGATATATGTATAACAAATCCATCCTGAAACCATAATAGGTCATTCAATTTATTTGATTGACATAACACAAGTAGGTGATGGACTTAACATTTATGGTTAATCCATATCTTAATCCAAATTAGGTAGGACTTAGTGTTTTGAACTAATCCATTCTCAATATAGGTAGGTTTTAGTGTTTTGAACTAAGCTATCCCTAATATGACACCGTCCCATACCGATTCATATATATCTATATAAGTAGGACTTAACCTTGTTATGGTTAATCCAACTCATTCCAAATTAGGTAGGATTTAGTGCTTGAACTAATCCATACCTAGTATGTCACCGTCCCATACCGGTACATACAATCCTCCAGTTAACATAGTTAACAATATAATATTAAATAGTTATCAACCATACTCCAAGTTATGCACAAGATATATGAGTCCATATACATAAATATTAAGCATTTAATACAAGGCCTAAAAACCATATCCAATGTTGTAAACTGTTATAATATATGCAAACACTTACATCATTTAACAAGATCCATGAATTGATACAATTTAATACAATTTAAGTACCAATTAAGTCCAACCTAAGTATAGTTGATTATAAATAAATCACCATACTTAAAACACTGAGGAAACATGATTATATATATCATTGAATCATATAATAAAAATCTGCTAAATTCCAGTGCACAAAACTAGCAAAACGGTGTGCATCATTTAAGTTTTTCTTAAACTCTATATTGCTCCTTCAATTAATCCCATTATAGATTAATGTTCCTCTATACTAAGTTTAGGTCTAAAATAGTTCCATCCAATATTTAAAACAGTGTAAACACAATAGAAATACTCAGAATAGTCAAAACGACGCACAAAAACCCAGTTTGCAATCTACCGTTTTTCTTTAGATTTATTTTGCTCCATTCCTTAGCTCAATCATGGATTAATGTTTTCCATATTAGATTAAGTCTATTATAGTCCCAACACATCAATTAAAATAGTTTAAAAGAGATGCTATACACTGTACAACTCAAACTACGCACAGAAAAATAAAAATAAAAACAACATACTGTGAGAGTTCTGGACTAGAGCAGGCTCAAAACAAAGTAGAGCCTGCTCTTTTATGGTTTGAGCCGGCTCTATGGCTCTAAGAGCCAGCTATAAACAGCCAAGAGCCGGCTCTAAGGATATTAGAGCTAGCTCTTTCCCTTTTTGGAGCCTGCTCTTGCTCACTTGCATGCCGTTGTCCGTTCCTGCTTCATCTTCTTCAACTCCGGTGTTTTCCTAGACCCTCTGTAATGTTTTTAATCCTTGTTCTAGGTTCCAACTCAGTCCTAGGTTCATCTTAAACCACAGATATCCATTCATAACATGTATTGAACACAGGTTTTAAAGCAACGACTACAGAGATATAGTTAGCAATCTGAAGCAACCCAAAACAGATTAATTCCATGAATTTAAACACTGTTTTAAAGAACTTGTTCTAGGGTTTGATTGTAGACCTAGATCAATTACAAATCATCCACACATACTTATGATCTCAATTTCATCAAAGCTTAAAACGTAAACACCACAGTAGCACCAAATAACAGAACATCAAAAGTTATACAATAGTTAATACACGAGACTAAACAGAGTTTATATTTGCATCAAAGACATGTTAATATGTTTGATTACATTTGTTTTAGCTTTTATTAAGTCCCTGGAGTCTAACTAGGCATGCACATAATACGAATTAAAGGGAAAGAGAAGAACAGAGACTTGCCTCTGATTTTCGGTTGGCAATCTAAAAATGTCGTCTCTAGCAACTCCGACAACGTCAATTGTTGTTATCAACCTCTGCCACTCCTAGTTAAATCTAAAACTCCTCCTTGAATCCCTCCCTTAATCTCTTAAGGTTCTCTCAGTATTTTGTCTCACAAAACACACTCGGTTGCTCTTTGTATTCCCTCTATATTTTATGTACGTGAATATGGTGAATAGGGTTTACAAAAACCTTCAGCAAACGTATACTTATATATTTATAGGCTTAAGTTGAAACCCTAAATTAAATCCTAAACCAACTACAAGTCGGCTCAAACCCAGACATGATGAATTTAAGCAAAACCCTAATGTAAACCAACTCAAGTAAATAATTTAATCCATTTAAAATAAAATAAAATTTTATTACATAAACATGAGACTAAAATAATTAACCCAATAACATAAAATAAAACCATTTAATTAAATACACAATTTAAATACAAATCCACAAATAATGCAAATAAATAAAGAAACAAAACCACCAAGCCAAATAAAAAAATTAAATTAAGAAAAATACACGTAAATAATTAAATTAAAATTCCAGGATTGTCCTTTTAAGTTAGGGGTATTACACTTTGGACATAGCATTTGAGATTCTTGGGTTGGCTGACGATATCAAAGAATTGAGGAACAGTTAATTACAGTTCAAACTACAAAATGTCAATTGAACCTCAGGATCATAGTTTTCATCTATTTGGGATAATTATTTTGTTTAGCGCGCGCGCGCACACACACACACACACACACACACACACACACATATATATTAATCATGACTTGATTTGAGCAATTTTGACTTGATGCTTATTGTACTTATCAACTGATATTATTCGTTTGAGGGCATATCTGGCTGATTTGGTGCCTTAAAATCTCCGTGAATGTAATGGTCCTTTTCTTTGCCTCTGCTTATGTTCGTCCAAGTCACATATGACACACCTACCATCCTAAATCAAGCCAAACAACACTCATATATATATATATATATATAGTAAGAGCTCTTGTTTCAACCACCCAAACAACCCATACTCTGTTTTTCAGCAATTCAAGCCTCCATTGCTCGAGAATTGGCCATGGCGATGAGCAATGTAAAGCGCTTGGGAGCGTTGCCTAGCCCATATACATTACAGGTTCAACTCGCTCTCAACATAAAGTCTGTCAAGTATGAATACCTCGAAGAGAACTTAAGTTTCAAAAGTGAGCTCCTCCTTAAACCCTACTCTATGCACAACACAATACCAGTTCTTATCCATGGTGACAAACCCATATGTGAATTTTTCACAGTTGTCCAATACATGACCAGGTATGTAGCTCAGGTCCCTCCATCCTCCCTGCTGATACCTATGATCACGTCATCACCCTTTTCTGGACATCCTATATTGACCAGAAGGTATGATTCCTCTACTTTGTACAATTAGAACTTCTTGAAATCATAAAGACTTGGTGATCATTTGTTAGGAAGTGATTGAAGCTACATAAATTTTTTTTTTATTTTTTTTTCATAAATATTTGTTTCATTATTTATACAAATTTCTATATAAAAATTATGTTTTGTGTCCAGGAGAATTTGTGACTAAATACTCATACATGACTAATTACAATGCTTATGTAGTTCTTTCCACCACTGGAAGTGATCGGGGCGACACAAGACGAAGAGGCAAGGACAGTGGCAATAGAGTAAGTGGTTGCAGGATTAGTGCTGCTGGAGGAAGCATTTGTCGAGTGTAGCGGAGGAAAGGCTTTCTTTGGTGGGGATAATATTGGGTACCTTGACATTGCATTCGGGTGCTCCTAGCCATGGCTGAGGGTGACGGAGAAGAGAAGAGGCGTGCAACTGCTGTGAGATATATATTTTATATTTTGCTAATTTCGTTGTGAAAACAAGTCTGATCAAGTTGTAATTTTTCGATTCAAAGTTTCAAAGATTGAAGATCAGATGCGGATTTGAAGAAGTTCAAATGTTCATGATATACTACACTCTGAAATGATAAGAACAATGCTCTAAGAAGATTAAGAGGTAGTGAGAACACATTGGGAGAGTTTTGGAGGTTTTTAAAGAAGATTTTACATTATGTCCATTTTGAACTGGTTCCCAAAATCCTAAACTGGTTCAACATCAGCAGAATTGAAAAAAATCAAGACTGGCCATCTTGAACCTGTAATACCCCGTATTTTATTAAAGAGTTTAGTTTATTTAAATTCATTTATGTGTGGATTTCTTTACCTATTATTGTGCATGCTACATTGTTATATTAAGTTCATTTAATGGTGTATGTAAATTAATTGTATATGTTAAAATAGTAAATTTATTCATTTAATTGTGCATGTATTATTATTAATAATTTTATTTGTTGATTATGTTTAATTAAGCAATATTAGTTAATTAAAGTATTATATTTATGTTATAAAGTATTATGATGATATAATGTATTCTTATGTAATAATAATAATTATTATAATAGTTAATAATAATAATAATAATATAATAATATTAATTATAATAGTTTAATAATAATAATAATAATAGTTATAATAATAATAATAGTATTAAATCATAAGTCATGATGAAATTAGAGATTAGGATAGGATTTCATTAATATTTATAGGTAAGACTTGAAGCCATATGGTTGGAAATGTGGTGAGTTTAATGTAAATTTAGATATTTGTAATATTTATATTATTTTAATTTGTATAAATATTAGTTAGTTTGATGAGAAGGTAAGTTAGAAACCAATTTAAAATAGTAGAGAGTTGTTGTTAGAGGAAAGAAAGAGAAGAAAGGTGAGAGAGAAAGAAAGGAGCTTGGACCGGTGTAGGAGAAATTTACCCGACTACGCGCAACCGGCGGATTTATTTTAAATCCAAAAAGGCAAGTTATTATCTACTTTTCCCCTTTGAATTCATAAATTATTCATTTAATTTATTTCGGGTTTTTAGAGACTAGAAACCATGCTAGGAATTTCAATAAATTATTTCTAGTTTATTAAAATAATGTGTTTTAATTATTAAAGAGGTTAGATATTTATTCATTAGCCTATGTAATTAAAATATAGCTGAAAATAATTAAATAAGGCTTTAGGGATTTTTCTAGAATTTTCTAGATTTTTCCGGGGCTTTTCTGCAATTTCCAGCGAGCCTCCGGCGAGGTTTCCGGCCACCGGCAGTGAAGAAGATGACCGGAGTGTTCCGGTGTGATGCGGCGCATTGTAGGTTAATGCGCGCGCGCATCCTGGGCCTTAGATGAAGCTGATTGATCTGGTGCATCGCGGTCCATGTTACCGCGGTACACCCGGATCATTGACCCTTGGATTAGGTGAGATGAGATGATAGATGATCCGGTGTGGCGCGCATGTAGGAAAGCTGATGCAGCCAACCAACCGGAGGACGCCACGTCAGCAGGAAGCCATCAACGCGCGCGTGGGAGCTCGTGCGCGCGCGTGAAACTCTCCAGACGCACGTGGGAGCGCGTGCGCGCGCGTGGCTGATGCCAGACGCGCGTGGAGGCGCGTGGGAGAGTGGGGAAGGTTGGGCTGCGCGTAGGGAAGCTTAGGGCGGCGCGTGGGGGCGCGTGAGGGGCCCTGTCAGCTGCTAGAAATTACCAGAATACCCCTAGGGCCTGTTTTGTAAATTTCAGAACCTTAAACTTGGATTTTTAGGTACTGCGTTGGTATTTACGGGTTTAACGGGCCACGAAATTATTATTTTAATACCCGTTAAGTATTATTATGGCCGATTAATATTTCTAAACCTTAATTGGCCCGTTTACCGTACGTAAATGAATGTGACTCATTTGACCACATTACTATAGATGGTATTATTATGTTATTAAATGGTATTCATTATTACTATTCAAATATAATAATGTCACGGTTATCGTCATATAAATTATCCATTATATTATGGGATATTTATACTGTTAATCATATATCAACCATGATTATTATGCTGTGTACATTTCAGGGAATAAATGGACTGTTTATTATGTCGCATTTATATTATATGGATGTGTTGCCATATAGAACCATGTGAGCTGGCTAATAAGTTTAGACTCATTTATACCTTATGCATTCGTTGCTATAGACAGATATGTGGCTGTCGGGGTATGTGGTTTAATATTATTGGCATGTGCTGCCTAATTGACATGCTCAGTATGTTTAGTAATATTATTGGCATGTGTTGCCTAATTTATATGCTCAGTATATTCATCAGTACTTTGAGAGGTGTTATCACTGTGTAGTTCGTTATAGTCTGTGTTGTCAGTACCGTGCACCATGTATAATAGCTGATTTCCCGGGTAGGGAAAGGCGACACTTAACCACCTAGTGTGAGTCTAAGTGATCACCGTCTATTCTGGTTGAGGTCATGTTATACATTGGATAGTTCCCTTAGGATGTATACAGATATAGTACTCATCCGATTCTTAATGATTAATTTATTTGATTCTCTGATTTGGGTCATAGTAGAGAGGACTTGCTCGTAGGGTTGACCCACCATTGTTGTTATTTCAGGATACGGTCAGTACCCGTTCCAAGGTTGAGGTTAGCAGTGTGGGACCACCATCCGAACTCATCTATTCTTACGATCCAGTTCAGGGTAGAAGTTTTACGTATTACTTCAGTTTCAGTTTTTATTTACTTTTGACGTTGAACTCTCAGGTTTATATTTAGGGATCCTTGACATAGGATTTCCAAGTTGTAATGGAGTACTGTATTTAAATAAAGGATGGATGGATGTTGTATTATTTAGTGTTCCTTTCCTGTCTAAATTCTTTTATTATCATCATTTTGTATTCCATGCTTGTATATTGCCAATTGTTTTTGATATCCCTCGTTTTTCATGTATAAGCCTGATCAACTTATGCGTGGAAAATGTGGGGGTGTTACAGAACCGGTTCCCAAATTCCTGAACCGGTTAAAGAGTCAAAAAGGTCCTTTGGATTAACTTCTGGCCATCTTGAACCGGTTCCTAAATTCCTGAACCGGTTCAAGACTCCTGATATGTTTGATTACTTTTTGGACTAGAGTTCCCTCTAAGTCCTATGCACGAAATTTTCTATATTTTCAGAGGGATTAGGACTTTCAAAACTCTATATAAACCTTGTTAGTCTTCTAGGTTTATTCATGACTTTAGGGAAAATGAATTCTATATTTTGAGAAAGCCTTTTAGAGAAAGAAAATTCAGAAAATCAAATCTGATTGTTCTGAATTTATTTATAAGAGCATACACATATATTTACGAGTGATTTAGTAGTGTTGTTCTCTATCTCATCAAAATTGGAGTAATGTTAAAGATTCAGAGATTCCGTATAAAGAGCAGGATTTAATTATTCTACATCGAGTTTAGATCTTGAAGAATAGAAGTAAAAACGATCACACTTTGAAAGGGTTGGAGCATTCGAGGAGTGTTGTCTGATCTACCTGCTACTCTTCTACAACTATCAAGCATAAGCCTGAGGTCAAGTTGCTGTTGGACGGGGAGTTGCAAAGCCAGAGGATTGTTAGCAATTGGTGTTTGGTAGAACGATAGGGTGTGAGCCAGAGTCAAAGTTCGGTGTACTTTGTTTCAAACATAGTGAATCGATTTACTTTGGACTGAATAGTACACGAGGTTTTTCCCATATAAACAGTTGATGTATTTTATCAACTAGGGTTTCCTCGCTAAAAATCCTGGTGCAATCTCTCTAAACTTAACTTGTTTTACTTTTCAATATTTATATTTATGATTATGGATGTTTAATTGATCATACAATTTAATCAATCATAAATTAAACAAGTTAACCTAATAATCAGATCTAGGTCATTAAAGGAGTTAATCACAATTAAAATCAACTAACTATTTCCGCACCCTAACTCTATTTTCACAATTTGGTATTAGAGCGAGATACTCAATATACAGAGTAGATCATATATGTTGATTTATTATTAATTTTTGCATCATGTCTAAAAATTCATCTTTTGTTGATGTGTTGCCTTTACCTTCTATTTTTTATTCTGTCACAAACATGGAAATTAAGTGGTCCAAGTTTAAAAAGGATTTTGAAAATTTGTTAAAGAAATTGAATCTTGCGGAACTTGATAGAGATATTTATGAGTTAGAAATTTATGTCTCTATTTAAAATTTGGAAGAAATTGGCCATAAGAATTTGAATCTTCTTCATAAAATTGATTTTTTTGGAAAAGGAGTTTAAGAAGGTAAATTTGTTTAATAAATTACTGGAACATAAAATTGATAATTTGAGTAGTGAATTTGTTAAAACAAAACTGTCTTTTAAGAAAGTTGATATTGACACTTACAAAATTGATAAGTTGAAAGGAGAGGTTGAAAATATTAGGAGTAACAAAGATTTGGCATCAACTTCAAAGGATTTGTATTTTAAAAAATCTAAAGATATTTTTGTGAAAGTTGAAACCAAACCTTGTGTTATTTCTAGTTCTACCAAACTTATTTCAACATGTCATTTTTGTGGTGAAAATGGCATATCAAATATAAGTGTCAGAAAAAAAAAATTGAATTAGGGAAGAAATTGAAAAATATAAGGAGTTCAAATTTGAGGAAGAAGAGGATTAAGATTGTTGAGCCTTGTGACACTTTGCCTAGAACAATAAGGAAATCATTGCATAATGAATCTAAAATTGTTTGGGTAAAGAAAGAGAATTTTAAATGTCTTGCCATGCACATATCATTTAGAGCACTTAGTCTATGTGGTTGGTACTTTGGTAGTGGTTGCTGTAGGCATCTGACAGGGGATAGAACATTGTTTACCACTTTTAAGGAATGCTTAGTTGGTACTGTTACTTTTGGTGATGGTAATGATTCTACTGTGAGTGGTAAATGTAAGATCAAATTTTCAAGAATTGGGGAGTTAAAGAATATTCTATATGTTAAAGGTTTAGCTACTAATCTATTGGATATCAGTCAAATCTATGATGAGGAATTTCAAGTCAATTTTACTCAACAAGGGTGTTTTGTAACTAATGAAAAAGGTGAATATATTTTGAAAGAAACTAGAACTTCTGATAATTGTTATGTTGTGTTTTCAGATCCTTTACTAATCTATTTTTCTACAGTTGTTGATAAGGCAGTTTTATGGCATAAAAGACTTGGACATGTGAATTTTAATGATTTAGTGAATTTGTCTAATAATGATCTTATTTGAGATTTGCCTAGATTAAAGATGCCTAAGAATGAAATATATGGTCCATGTCAATTAGGAAAATAAACTGGAGTGTAACATAAGAGACTAATTCATAAAGTCACTTCTCGACATTTAGAATTAATTCATATGGATTTGATGGGTCGCATAACACCTGATAACATTGGAGGAAAAAGATACATGCTTGTTATGGTTGATGATTTTTCTAAATTTACTTTTATTGCATATTTGAGAGAAAAATCTGATACTTTTGTAAAAATTTCAGGTCTGTTTGTTAACTTATTCAAAATGAGAAGGGATATCGAATTAATCGGATTAGAAGCGATAATGGAGGTGAATTCGAACCTAAGGAGTTTATTGAATATTGTGATAAGAATGGCATTAAGAATAACATTAAGTATGAATTTTCAGCACCTAAAACACCACAACAGAATGGTGTAGTGGAAAGAAAAAATAGAACAATTGTAGGTATGACACGTACTATGCTTCATGAAAATAAAATTATAAGTCACTTTTGGGCAGAATCAGTATGTACTACTTGTCACATCCTAAATAGAGTTTATCTTAGGTCTGGAACTAAAAAGATTTCATATGAATTGTGGTATGATAGAAAGCCCACTGTTAAATACTTTAAAGTCTTTGAAAGTAAATGTTATATCATTAAAGATAGGGACCACTTTGGAAAATTTGGCTTTAGAAGTGATGAAGGTGTGTTTTTGGGTTATTCACAAACAAGTCGGGTTTATAAGGTTTTTACTCTTAAAACCAAAGTGGCCATGGAGTCTATAAATGTTGTATTTGATGATACAAAATCTAAGACAACCTCTTCTAAACTTGATGAAGAAGAAATTAATTTTGAAATTGTAGGAGAAATGATAGAACCTACAATTCAAGAGGAAGGAAGAGTTGAGCTTTTAGGTAGAGAAGATGAAGAGGTTGAAGAAGATGAGGATGAAGAATTAAAGGACACAACTAATGAACCTATAGGAATTCTTGCACCATCTTTAGATATTCCCACATCTGGCAGTTCTAAAGTTCGATCAAGCCATCCAGTTGACAAAGTGATAGGTCCATGGGATCAACATGGTACTAGGAGTACAGTCCGTGATCATTCAGGATACTCATGCATTGTAGATGACATAGGACACTCATGTCACATGGCTCAGTTTGAACCTAAAGAATGTTAATGAAGCTCTTCAAAGTTCTGATTTGTAACGACCCTGGTTTTTAGGCCAGCGTGTCCTATGATGAACCGAAGGTTGACCCGATAACGGATCCGAATGCGAAAGCGAAAATAGAAAACAAAACTCTAAGAAGTCAAAGTGACCTTCCATGGGATTGTGAAACTCAATAAGAACTAATGCGGGAACGAATTATCAGAAAAAGACCGAATAGGCCCCCTAGGGCAAAAATGGTCACTTCTGAAATTATAAAATCGGGTGCTACTGAGCACACCACTAGAAAGATAACAAAAATTTAATCAAAATTAGACCCGAGAATCACTTGATTCGAAGTTCAGATGAAGAAGATATGAAACTCCAAAGTTTCATAAAAATCACATTTTTGGGTTTGAAAACAATGCGGCAAGGGTAATTGACAAGGGGTAAAATGGTCTTTTTAGACAAAATTGGATGCAACTGAGCATACCGATAGATAGACTAGGAAAAATTAATGAATCTAGACTCAAGAATCACTTGATTCGGAGTCTGGATGAAGAAGATATGAAACGTCAAAATTTTTAAAAAAACCAACCTTTGAGTTTAAAATCAATTCGGCAAGGGTACTTTACAAAGGGAAAAATAGTCTTTTCAGATAAAATTGGATGTAACCGTGAATACTGTTGGATAGACAAGCAAAAACTAATAAACTTAGACTCAAAAATCACTTGATTTGGAGTCGGGACGAAGAAGATATAAAGCCTCAAAGTTTCAAAAAAATTAGACTTATTTTCCGGGTAAGAAATCTGGGTAGGAATAGTGTTTTAACAGCAAGCACCAATTAAATTTTTTTCAGAACCGAGACTAAAAACGAACCCTTAAACGAATTTTTTTGGAAAAACATGAAGAAGAAACCCCCCTTAAAATCACGTTTTCTACCCGACTATATAGAAGAAACCAAAAAAAATACGATGTAAAGTCCCTAAAATGCCCCTTGAACAGCCTAGGTCAAGATGGACCCAAAAAGCTGCTACAAGAATTTTTTTCTAAAAATAGCCAGAACAGAGAGTAAAAATGGGCTAGTAGATGAATTTTTCTGGAAAAACACAAAGAAAAAACCCTCCTCAAAATTGAGTTTTCTACGTGACTCGCGAGAGAATTAAAAAAAAAACGTAATCTAGAATGCCCGAAATGCCCCTCCATGAAATCTGGTCATGGAGGTCCAAAAAGCTGCTAAAAAAAACAGAAAGCTGAACTTTACGATCGATTTCCGTCACCAAGACGACATTTTCTGGAAAAACACAAAAAAGAAACCCCCTTTAAAATCACGTTTTCTATTCAACCATGTTAAAAGAAGGAAATAAAACTGAATTAGAAAGTCTAGAATGCCCCTAGATCAGAATATGCAACAAAAATGCAAAATGAAATCGTAGGAGGCTCAAAACATAAACGATGAGGTTTTGCCCGGAAACGACTATGCACGCAAACGTAACTTACCTATTTAGACGCGCTACAATGGTCCATGGCTTAAAAATATAGCCGATACAAAATCCGACCCCCCAACGGGCAAAAAGGCAAAAATGGACTTGGAATGGAAAACATGGAATCCAAAAATGTAAAATGGAGTCAAATGACCGTTTGGCCCTTGGCCACACTTCATACAAGATTAATAAGACCCTATGAAAGAATGAAAATGGAATTCACACACCCGATGCAACCATGGTAAAGCAATGACTTACGATTTTTCAAGGTTTTCATAATATTTCATGAAGTTAAAAAGTTGTATAGGATACAATACACATGTCATTGGCCTCCGGCCTTATCTCATACATGTCAAATACATTGAAAGGAGTGCATTTATGTACACATTACATACACAAAATCAAAGAATACAAATTTTACATATAAGTCTACAAAATGACATTTCCTGCTAACATTTGCATGAAATGGAAACTTGAAAGCTACACGACATCCAAGGAATACTAGGCATCATGAACCAAGTCTTCGTACCTGAAATATGCCCCAATATCGTAGGGGTGAGTAACATAAAGCTACTCGTAGGAGATGAGCATGCATCGACCTAGCATTTTACAAATTTATCACCTTAAGGTGAAACATGTTAAAGGGGCTCATGCCACCTAACGTCTATGTCCAAGTGAGACTCGGGGAGAATCCTAAGCTAGCTTAGAGTCTAAGCAACAAGAATCATGATATACATACGTGTATGAAACGAATCATGGTTGAGATGATCCAAAGAACACGACAAGAAGAATGCTTGAGCATAGATTAACATAAATTGTATTTTCAATAAAATTGAACTAGGTCTAGAGTAATCCATATAACATAACAAAAGCATATTTAAATACAAGTTAACAAGAATCACATTATCCATGTAATTCAACAACAAAAGAGCATGTTATACAATGCAACAAGGTTTAAGTTCTCAAAGCCATCAACTTAGAATCTAAAGCACAAAATAACAGTAGTGGTTCATGCCACCTAACGTCTATGTTATAAATGAATCAATAGGATCAATCCTAAGCTTTATTAGAACGTCAAAACACGATTTTCAATATCAATGCAATTTAACCAACATTGAAACTTCCAATACAACGCATAAAGCACAATTTCGCAAAGTTAACATCCTGTAACTTAAAATAAGAAACAATAAGTTACAACATCATCTAGTTATCAACTTGAAAATGAAATGCGAAATCAAACAAAGTGGATACTCGGACGTCACGCCAGATCAGACCGACAACATAGTTACTTTAGGGTTACTAGCCCATGGGTAACCTCCTTATGTACGTACTAGACTATATAGAGGGACTATCCCCCGTACTAGAACCACGTCCTAGCCATAGTTAAACAACGACATCCCCAAGTTTCCAAAATCAACAAGTTGTGCAACAACGCATATATCAACAGGAATATGCAAGATAATCAACTATCTACCAAGCACAACCAAATTTGGAAACCTATACAATACATGCTCTAAGTCTACAACTAATATGATGTGATGAATGTCGAATCTTCAGTGTGCGATTCGTTACACGCTATGCATGAATGATGTTAAATACGAAATGTGCAAATCATTACACAAGGCAACAATATATTCAATAAGGAAAGCATATTCTCATGAGTATAAACATAGCAACTATGTTATCCAATGCTCAAAACATAACCAAATGAATATACAACAAGTCCTTGTCCAGGATTTTGATATAGAAACGACTTTCAAACACAATTAAATCCATGGCTCAATTCGATAAAATTTAATTAAATAAAAATAATTAAATTCCCTAGATTCTAATTCAATTCCAAATAACCTCAAATTAATACATATTAAAGAACATGGCATGGTCATCACCATGCCATTGGAACAACAAAGTAGAACTCTAATTAAATCATGCTAATTCAATTACCAAGGTTCTAAAGCAACTTCAAATGGTCCACAATTAATATATACTAGTAAACAAGTCATGGCCAATACAAATATCAAGTTAAAATCTTAATTAAGCTAATGGGATCTTTTAATTAAAATCTCTAGATTTTCAAACTTAACCAAATGCTCTCAATTTAACATATCTTAGAGAACATGCCAAGAACTAATGTAATATCACATTACAAGCTTATTTCATGCAAGTTACACCTATGTATATTAAACTTTCACTAAAGTTAAATATAAAATAAAGGTTGTAATTCTCATGCAATTAATCCCAATTTAATATATGTGAACAAC